TGTTTGTAGTGTATGTACCCACATGTGCCCATGTGCACACAGTATCCCTGTATGTCAGCCAGTGGACCACGCTTGTCTCTGCCTATCGCTCTCCGCCTTATTTTTAAAGTCAGTACTTTCACTGAGCCTTGGGCTCACCAATTAAGCTGCCAGACGGGCAGGACAGCAGGCTCTGGGAATCCTCCTATCTCTACCTTCCCAGAACCGGGTTTGCAGACACGCACTGCGATACCCAGCTTTTCACATGGGTGCTGGGAATCTAAAATCAGGCTTTCAAGCTTGTGAGGAAAGGACTTTACTGACTGAGCCATGTAAGCAGCTGGAGAGCCCCAGTGCAGTTCCTAGCCACCCTGTCAGGCAGTTCACCACTGCCTGTAACTCCAGCTCTAGGGAATCCGATACCCTCTTCTGGACTCCAAGGGTACCTGCACCCGCTTGCAACCATATATATATATATATATATATATATATATATATATATATCCAACCCCATATATATAAAATTAAAAATAAAATTGTTAAAAGAGAATTTTCTGTCCTCACTGGCTAACTCATTTTTCAGGAAAGAAGAAAAGCAAAGGATTTTTTTTTTTTTTTTTCTGCTACAAATAGAAAAGATGGAGCCTTCCTCTGATGGGTGAGGCTTTGGGGCTTCTGCCTGGAGCAGATGCTCCTCTCAAAGCAGATGGATTTGTGGAGAGGGGGAACAAGCCAGCCACTTGGGGACAGTTGCCAGCAACACTGCCTGCTGAGGCAAGGGCTGCCAGTGTTCGGAGACCCTCCCTCCATCCTAGGGATACGTCTGATGAGCTTTCTCATGACTTCAGTTAAGCACCTGTCTTTGGTCACAAGGCCATGAGCATTGTGAGCAGGTCACAAAGGTTGCAGAGAACTTGCTTAAATGATTTCATTAGTTTATTCGACCATAGTAAAAATGATTAATAGACAAGTGCTTTGGAGAGTGAAATCTGTGTTGGATTTTTCAGATACTGTTGTGTGAGTAGAATACTTCAAAAGGTTAACTCTCTCAAAATAAAGGGAATCCTTTGCCAAAATATCTTTCATAATTTATACTCTTGGAGGCTATGGCAGGGGAAGGAAAGAAGGGAAGAAGTGTGTTCTGAAGATGGAGGCTGAGTAGGTAAACAGGCCAGTATTGGAGAGGTATCTCATTACAAGGAACAATAGAATTAAAAAACCTCATTTGGGGGTTGGGCGATGGCTCAATGGTTAAGAGCGCTGGCCGCTCTTCCAGAGGGCCTGGGTTCAATTTCCAGTCCCCACGTGGCAGCTCACAACTTCTGTACCTCCATTTTCAGGAGATCTGATACCCTCATGTAGACACACATGCATGCAAAACACCAGTGCAGCTAAAACAAACCAACAAACAGAAACTTAACCAGCAGGGAAGTAGAAAAAAAAAAGAGTCAGAAAAGCTAGTAGCTTCCATAATTCCCACAGCCTGCCTGTGTTTGGTCCAGAGACCCCATCTGGCTAGGAGTGCCATTTGTTCATGGTCCTCTGACTACAGGGATCAGGGCAGCATGAGCTGAGTCACACCCGACATGTGCCTCTACTAATATTTTCTTAATGTAGCTTTTTAGCTGTCTCACCACTTAGGACACGTGAATCTGTTTCACACTTCTCTTTTTGCACACGTGTGTTCATGGGTGAGTGTGGGGTGGTGATGGTGGTTTGTGTGTGTGTGTGTAAACGGTGCATATGTGAGTACATACAGGAAGGCCACAAGAAGACGCGAGGTATCTTGCTCCATCACATTCTGTCTGATTCTTCTAAGTCAGGGTATCTCGCTGAACACAGGTAAGGGGCAACCAGAAAGCCCCAGAGATTCTTCTGCCTCTGCCTCCCCCAGGACTGTCATGACAGGTGCCTGTGTGGACATGCCTGGCTTTCTGCATGAGTTCTGATCCCAGAACTCATCTCAGGGAAGAAGGTGAGCCTGTGTACATAGAAAGGAAGCTAAAATTAGAGGCAGCTTTGTGGGCTCTTCTCTCTCCACTGACACTCTCCTTGTGGCCTTTCTCTTGGGTTAAGGGAATGGTTCTGAGAGGCATGTGATTTCGGTTTATCTTTTTGTATGCTAACGGCTGTGGCTATAACCAAAGGACCCAACACTGTTGAGACTGAAAGAACAGCTAACTGAATGCCTGCACCCCAGTGATCAGCCCAGGTCTGGGCTGTCGGGGCTTTCTGATCCACGAGAGCCACAGAGGCCTTTTCTCCAGGGGCTGGGGAGGAAGGACACGCCATCTCCACATGCTTGGTCTAGCCCACGAGGATAGACTGTACACAGTGTTCCCGAATGCCACCGTAAGAATGTGGTCTGTGGTCACTCCTGGCAGCCGATGTTTGGGGAAAGCAGCCCTGAGTCTTCATTTGCCCTTTGCTCGCAACTCTCCACTCCTTCGAAGGGGGCTAGTGGAAAAGGAGGGAGTCTCCAGTCTCTGAATAGATAACAAACAAGGTTTCCCATTCTGAACCTGGAAATTTACGAAATACCTCGGGTCTAGTCCCTCCTTGAAGAACCCAGGCAATGAAGAATTCCGGGGACAGGGAAATGGAATTAGGAACACAGAAACACTGTTTAGTGCCAAACTGCTGTGCTACCCATTTTTGCCTTTTTCTCTATGGTGATGTCTCTTTTTGCAGGGTCCAAATATTGAACCGCTAGTTGCCAGGACTCTTCTTGTGAAGTGAAGATCTTTGTTTCTCGCAGTTCACACCCTTTGTTCCTCTCCCTTCCCAACCATAAGCATCACTTCTCTCCTCCCCCTTCCCTCTCTTCCACCACCTCCCTTCCATCTCTCTCTTCTCTCTCAGTTTCTCTTCAATTTCCCCTCCCGCTTTCTCTTTTCTCTCTTTTTCATGTGGACTTGAGTATTGAACCCAGGAACTCAGAGTTAAACACTTTTCCATGCAGCCACACCCAGGCTCTTTTTCCAGTCAAGACTAGGTGGTGTTTTTCTTGTTTCTTGTTGTGTTCTCACTCTCTTCTATAGCCCGACCCCACCCAGGCTAAGAAGGTTATTGGCAGCTTCAATGTAATGACTTCTATTTTGGCGGATGACATACAGATTATCGCTTTAAACCATGGTCTGAAGCCTCAGTTTGTAACTTGTAAGCTGTGTTTGGAGTCACTCTTGGGACAGGCTGCATCAGGCTGGGAAGAGCAGCTCTGGGGTCTCCCCAGGGCGACTGTGGTGGTTCTCTGTTACAGGACAGCAGCAGGTGCTCTTGGGTGTGAAGTCCCTCATCCTGGAGTCCAGGTCACCTGAGGCCTGACCCCAAGTTTTTTGCTGATGTATCATTACACGTTCTCTCTGCCTTCACACCTGTCTCCGCAAATAGACTCTGGAGTCATTCTTCCCACAACTGCTTAGATTCAGTGTACTCCATATTTCAAAATTGATTTATCTGTGTCTGGTGGAACAGGTCTGTCATCCGATTTGGGAAGCTGAAACAAGAGTATAGTCAAGTTCACAACCAACTTGGTTAATTTAGTAAAACCCTGTGTCAGAATTAGAAGTTAAAGGTGTGTGTGTGTGTGTGTGTGTGTGTGTGTGTGTGTGTGTGTGTGTGTTCAGTGGTAGAGCACTTGCTTGGCATAGGTGAAACTCTGGTTCAATCCCCAGCATCACAAATAAAGAAATAGAAATAAATAGAGTTGTAGTCTATGTGGTGACTGGAGGTTGAGAGGCCATCCCAAAGATCAAAGGAAGCTTGAAAAACATAAGCAGAGCTATAGGTGAAGCAAAGAGTAGCGTGGATAGGGGCTTCTGTCCTTGTCGCCAAGCTTTGAATCTGCAATGATGCAACATTATTCTTCTTATAAAAAGTGTATAAATGAACCCTACAGGATGGCTGCAGGCCCAGCAAGGTGTGTTTAAGTCCGTGTTGGGCTGTAGGTGCTGGTGGGAAAGTTCAGTGAGAGACTCTCCTATGGGATCTGGGGCTTTAACTCTGTTCTCTGGCTCCTGCAGGTGGGATCCTGCAAAATCACACTGCTCTCCTTCCACAGGCAGCAGCCACACTATCCTCCTGTGGTTGTCAGTGTGGAATGAAGTCGGAAGCACAGCTGGAAGGCTGACCCAAACCGTTGTCACCTACACAGGTGGGGAAGTGCAGGAGGTAGTGAGAGTACTCCCCCACCCCCGTCCCGTACACCACACAACTCTATTCTCTGCTGAGTGAGTTGTCAAAAAGCTCGTTTAAACTTGGGACAGTGCTTCTCCAGAAATACAGAGAAAGCTGTTTCCTATTTAAAGTTGCTTATTCACAACTGACCCAGAAATCTGATGAGTGGTAAGTGGTGAATGAAAGAGAAGTTTGAAGAATTGTCCCTGTATGATGATGGCAGCAGGTGGCGGCCACACCAGAACAGTAAGTAGCCTACATCTCCAGGTTCGGAAAAAACTCTCCTGCTCAGACTGATCCACAGGAGCCAGGCTTAAGCAACAGACAACAAAACCTAGGGGACTGTAGGTTTGTGTGCTGTGCTGGTGTCCCTGGCCAGGACAGCCAGGACACCAAAAAGCACTGAGCCACACAAGGCTGCCCTGCCTTCAGCCCCTGTTTGTGGTGTCTCTCTTGTGAGAGTTTATTGCTCCCCAGAGAACTGGCCTGAGCTGTGGGATTTTGCATCTTCACATCTGGCCTTGCTGGCAAGTGGCAGCCCTATGGGCTTGGGCTGAGCACAGCACTGAGAGTTTGAAGGAGAAGAGCAGACACCTTACTCTGCACAGAGACCACTCCTATCACTAGGAGAGTGGACACAGGTTGGGCTGGTCCCCCAGCTGAAGATGTCACATACTCTAAGAAAATGGCCCCTTTTCTGTTTCTGAGGCTTCCAGGACCTTTCCATGGCTGGGGGCAACTTGAGAAAAATGAGGTTTTCATGGAGCATGAGCAAAGATCTGGGCAAGTCTCTCTTTGAACCTGATTTCTAACCCTAGGTTCTAGTTCTGTTTGTTTGTTTATTTGTTTTTATGGAACCCTTCAGGAATTTTCGAGTCATCTCCGAACAGGGGCTGTGCTAATCTCTGTATCATTCCAATTTTAGTCTCTGTGCTACCAAAGTGAGCACCCCTGGACTCAGGTTAAGAGAAGGCTCAGAAGCAGGGCTTAGATGGAGGGGAAGGGAGGTTTTCAGGGAAACGCTGTGTATTCGTTTCTTTTCTCCTTGCTGTAACAAAACACATTGAAAAAAGCAACTTAGCAAAGAAAGGTTTACTTTTGGCTCATGGTTAGAGGTAACACAGACCATCATGATAGAAACAGCATGAGGTGGAGGCATCTGGTCACAAGGTAGTGAGGCAGCAAAGAATGAACAGGAAGCTGGCGGGGCTGTTAAACCTCAAGGCCCATGCCCAGTAGACCACTTTCTCCAGCAAAACTCCATTTCCCAGAGGTTCCACAGCCTTACCACACAGCACCGTCAGCTGGGGACCAAACCTCCAAACATGACCCCATGGGGAAAACTCCAGACTCAAACCACAGCACTTGGCCAAATGTCTGGATTATTTTGTGGAGAGGAAACACAGTGGCCTCTGGGAGACAATCAGCCTGGAAGCTGCGAAGAGCAGGAGACTGGGAAGAGCAGGAGACTGGGAAGAGCAGGAAGGTGGAAGCCACAGGAACTTTCAAAAATCCCATTCACTGTATGCCATCTCTCTAAGAGCCTACATGACAGATGTATCCCAGCGCTGAGTAATGGGTGTCAAGGAGAAGCGGCCAGACCTGCCTCCTTCCTCACTTCCTCTCCTCTCTAGAAACCATTGTTCTTCTGCACTTTCTTCTTCTAGGTTACATCATGTTGAGATGCAGATGTTGCTCTTCTCCTGACTCCTTCGTATGTATCACTGAGCCAAGCCACCAATGCGAGCGATACCTCAAGGTACCCAAAGAACCTGAGTTACCGCTCTCTATAGGTAAACTGTACAGGTTTACTCAGGAAGGGCAGTAGGATGCCCTGGATGAGTGTCATCATCCCTACTACCCTGTGGAAGGAAGAAGGCTTCAATGAGCCGAGTGCCAGCTATGCAGAGAGGGCTTCTGATAGCCCTGACAGCTTCCAGTTTCCAGTGAGTGCCACCCACTGCTGTTGTCAAGGAGAGGAAGCCAGCACAGCCCTTCTCTCCACTGTAAATGAACAGTGAGGAGGACTATGGGCCCACAGAGACGCCCTCTCTCAGAGGGGAAGATTTCTACCTCACATAGTTACCATGGAGGGGAGAGACAGGTGCGCAGTGCTTTCTTGGGAGGAAGAGCAGAGCAATGGGTTGTGGTGTCAGACAGAATGAGGTACATGAGAGGCCATGTTCAAGATCGTGGACTGTTTTCTTCTTCTGGAAACTCACAGCTGTGACCAAAGAATCCCTGCTGTATACACGGCAGCAGTTTGTGTGAGTCTCCTTTGCTGTAGGAAGCAGCATGCACCACAACACAGCAATGGGCCTTGTTTGGAGCAGACTGACTTTAAAAGCCAAAGATGAGCATGAGTGACAGGTGTTCAGTAAAGCCATGCAAACATGGGAACCTGAGTCTACCCCTCCCCCGAGAACACCCCCCACCCCCCCCCCCCCCCAAAAAAAAAGAAATCCTGGCATAGTGGCGCTCACATATAATCTCAGTCAGTGCTGGGAAGGCAAGAGACAGGAGGAGGATCTCTGGGCTTGCTGCTGGCTGGTTCAGACGTAACTCCGCAAACTTCAGGCCAACGAGATGCCTTGCCTCAAAAAGCAAGGTGGGAAGAATTCAAAGATCCACAGTGGAGGGTGACCTCTGGCCTCCTCGTGCACATCACATAGCTGCACATATATACACAAGTGTTTTAAAACGCTAAATGCAGGGGTACAGGGGAGAGCTACCCTTGGGGACTTGCTACACACGACAAGCCTTTTTATTCGGAGCTTGTTTTCCTGACCTGATTTTCTGCAGTCTTCCAGATTCCTCCAGCAGCAAATAGTGATTACCTCAGGCACCATCTGTCGCTCTACCCTAATTCCTCTCTCTTCACCTCAAAGCGCTGCTCTCATGGGAGCATGTGACCCCACTCCAGGGAGGGTCAGGATCCTCCTGCTTCAGGGTGAGTCCTCCAGCATGGGATCCCAAGACATCAGACACAGCTCCTCTGACACAGCTTTTAGGCCACTGCCATGCTGGGAGCCGTGTGACCCCCCAGTAGCTACCAAGTGAATTCCGAAGCTTCTTGGCATTGCTCTCACCCCTAGGAGAGAAATCTCCTTCACATCTAATCATGAAGTCCACACCTCAAACCACTAAAAACAGCAGCATTCCAAAGCACAGGGCCAGAGGCAGGAGGACAGATGCTTTGTCTAGTTTCTTTTGCTTTGGTGGCCAGTAGGAGAAGAGCTAGAAAAGAGGCCATGGCCATTCCCCACCAGCACTGGGGGGCAAAGGGCAAGATGGCAGCTCCTCTAACTCCATGTACATCCTGACACACATTCACACACACACACACACACACACACACACACACACACACTCACTCATGCCCTCACACCCTCACATATGCATGGTGTGTGTGAGGCGTGCCATACTACACATCTGCGGGTCAGAGGGCAACTTTGTGGCGTTGGTTCTCTTCCTATACTCTGGGTATCAAACACAGGACACACCTTTATCTGCTGAGCCATCTCACCAGCCCTGAGAGGTTTTCAATCAGTTTGACTTGCAGGAAATACGTATTCCAGCTTCCATCCTAAACGGGAAACCAAATCCCTACATTCTTGTGTGATGACCCACTCTGCTATCTTCTGCCTGCCTCAGTGTGTCTTATGGTTCCTCATGATAGACCTGAAGCGGGGATGGGCTAAAGTTCTCAAAGATTTGTCCCTCAAGCCCCACCTCTGTCAGCCAAGCCCCACATCCTATCAGAACAGTGCTACCACCTGGGAACTAAGCATTCACACACGTTAACCTGTGAGAAACAATTCATAGCCACACACTTTACAGGTGCTCCGGCAGGCTTCCTCATCAGTGCCTGAGTCAGAGCCGGCAGGTGGCTCCGCTGCGGAATCTGTTCCTCAGGGCCTGGAGTCTGTGCTGAGGGGCAGCAGCCTGTCTCTGGTGGGCTGTGTGGTTCATGGGAGCCACCGGGCCTCTCTGGGCTCCCATAGCACTCGGGACAGGCATCCCCCACGCACATTGGTGACGGGGGGAAGGGCATCCACCCAAAGGAAAGCATTCACAGCAAAGTTGACCCGCCTGGAGAAGCCACATGCGAGCCGAGATGGACCTTGACCCCTCAAGCAAACAGGAAACAAAACTCTCTTGTCCTCCAGTGAGGCAATGACTGTACAGACACAGCCGGTGGGGGTGAGGGGGGGGAGCTACCTCCAGTCCTAGATTCCAGGGAGGAAAGGCAGGATCCTTCCCAGTTCTGGAGCTCAGAGTGGGACTAGCAGGCTTGAAGGTACATGGCCTTCTTCCGGGGCTGTGCAGACTCTGGCTGTTACCTAGACAAAAGTCCCAGGGTGTTGAACCCTTCCTGGCCACAGGTTCTTTTCTGCAGGACCTAAAGCTGCGTCTTTACTACATTTACGCTTTTGAAGTTAATTTAATAGAATGAAGTTTTCAAGTACTTTCTTTGTTTTAAAAACTTTATTTATTTATTATAGTGCATGTGTTTGTGTACACGCCTGTGTGTGTGTGTGTGTGTGTTTGCCTGTGTGTGCATATGTATGTGGGTGTGCACACTCGTGTACCTGAGGAGGCTGTAAGAGGAAGTCCACTTAACTTCTAGGGACAGGGTCTCTCCCTGAACCTGGAATTAGGCTGGTGGTCAGCAAGGCCCAAGCTCCTCCTGCCTCTGCCTCTCTGCTCCCAGTACAGGGGTTGCAGGCAGTTTGTGGCCACACTTGGCTTTGTATGTGGGTACTGGGGATTTGAAACCCCGTGTCTTCATGCTCGTATAGCAAACACTCTTACTCAGTATCTCTCTCACTCCCTTAAGCGACTTCTGAGGGGCTGGATGGAGATTCCGACTAAGTTTGTAACACCAGCCCCGATCTGGAGACCACATGGAGGGTAGAGTCATCCAGAGTACTTGTCTATTGTCCATGGTACCACTCAACAGTGGATATTAGAGTCTGGTAGAGGACAGGATGGCCACACATCCAACCCAGCGGGTTGGGGGCTCTGGTAGGTATGGTTGGATGGGGTCTGGTGGGCTGAATGGGAAATGGTACAACTCAGTGTCTGTATTCAACAGGGCAGCCCTAGGCTATCGACGTTTAGAAAGGAGCTCAGGGACAGCCATCCTGGGAGGGAATAAGACAGCATTTTCCCACCGTGGCTCAGCTGGGGCACGCCTCACCTAAACAGGAGAATCACTCACATATGTGATTTATGTGATTTAGTTGTTGAACTGGCCATCTCCTAACAGGGTTTGCACCTAACTTGGATTGGTGCCTTCACAGCCCAGTCTTTCTTGCAAACTCATAGCCCTTCCCAAACTCCTGGATGTTTTCATGTTACTGGGTAGGTGGGGGAGGCGCATCACGCTCTTGCAGAGGCTTCCTGTCCCCAGCACACTGCCTGTGTGGACTTCTGAATTTCCTCCCACCTGACTCTAGAGTCTGCTTCTTCCTTCCTGAAGAGACCCCGTGAAGAGCTGCTGTAAGTGGGCCCCTACCTCTGAGAGAAGGTATGAAGATAACACTAGGTTCAAACAGTGCACCTTAGGACTGGAAACAATGGAAGTGGCTGCTTTCACATCAGTGTTCCCCATTTCTGACCCTTGCAGCTGGGTGGTTACCTTGGCCTTCCCCCCAGGCTGTGCCCCTCTTTCCATGGCTTCTCCCTCCCCTCTTCCACTTCTGCTTTTAAGTCCCCTCCTTTTGGTGTAGTCTCAACTGGTGCAGGTCTCTTAACTGCCACACTGCCATCGAGTGGCTTCAGTGCCACTCCGGCTGCTGTAACAAAAGCCACAGGCTGAGCAGCTTATAGACGAATAGATTTATTTGTTTCAGGGCCAGACGCTGGAAGTTCAATGTCATGGTGCTGGCCCTGCCTGGTGTGTAGTTGTGTAGGGTGGGGGCTGGGGGTCTCTTCCTGGTTTGT